TTTTCGTTTCATTGACAAACGCTCGTTTGATAACAACACTCGATCGCGTGAAATTTTTTTTTTTTTTTTTTCCCCGGTTCGGTCGAATCGCTTAGCCCACAGGATGATTTGTCTCCCGTTCTCGTTACTGTCGTCGGCCGCGTTTACATCGATTTATTACGCCAAGCTTTCGAGCCCTTTCCACGCGCGGATACCGAACGCCAAACGGTTAAGTGTGGGTGGCGAGACACCGCAGAAACCGAGTTTTGCGGTGCTAAAATCAATTCCGTGTTTGCCTGTCAATTTATCGCTAATGGCCGACCAGGTAACAGCTGATGATAACGCGATGCTCCCTGGCAGTTTACCTCGAATGTCGATTTTAGTGTTCAAGCATTCAGATGGCCGCCACTTCGCAACAAGCACGTATGCATATTTCGCAACTTTCTATCGATCCTTCTATGGCTCTGTCCGTGTTGACGGTGTTCTAATCGTCAAGAACAACAAACACTTATTATCGCGATAACGATAACCGAGAGAGAGCCCTGCGGAGCTAGCGTTTAATTGATCGCGATGGAAAATTACTTCTTGTCGATTTTATAGGTCTGATTAATTCGATCTCTTCGGTTGCCTTCTTCGTAGTTACAAATGTTCTTGTTTTTATCTGTCGTATAATTGATCAGCTTGTTTTATCTGTTATCTTGTCGTTATTATTGTTTATTTATTTTCCGGCTTCACAGTTTAGAAAAAGGACTCGAGTTACAGATTTTCTACTCTCGCTCATTCTCATACTGTCTATATCTTGTTTTTAAGGGTGCATGGCACCCCGGGAGTTTTACTAATAGGTAGAAGTTTAGGAATTTTTCAATGGGTGACTAGTGAATGAAAAGTTTCAATTTTTTTAAGAGAACACGAATGTAACTTTCACCTATCTTCTCTAATTTTTCAAAAATAGAAATGTTACGAGATAGAGAAAAAATTAAAAGTTTTAAGAAACGTTTTTAGCCCAAGTTACTTGGTTTAGCTAAGGAGTACACAGTAAATACATAAAACTTTTGCAAAATGGAGAGTAAATTTTACCATTGAAAAGAATTCTCACATTTTACCTATTTTTGGAACTCTTAGGGTGAAGTACCCTCTTAAAAAGTTCATCACTTTACCTTCTCAAACGCGAGTACACTGTCAAATTTCTACCACCTTTCGAACATTCATACCGAGAAGATTTATAACAAAAGTCCCCACCGAAGGATATATTTCAATATCGGCCAATTTTGACAAAATGCACGAGCGATGGGAATTTGAATAATTGCAGCCGGATATCTCGATGGTGTGTCATTTGAATCTATTAACGCGTCGAATAATCTCGCAAAGGCAAAAATACAAAATTTATACAATCCAATTTCCTACAATCTCGTTTATACTCATTTTTATATTTCCCATTTAAAACAACACCAAAAAAAAAAAAAAAAAAAAAGAAACCATCATAAATTCCCTCCATTCTAAACGACGTTCACACGAAAGGGTACAGATATCGACAGTTAAACATCCAAATAGACGTCCAGCTGTTTTAAACATTGAACAGAGTACGACCAACGTTGATAAAGATCGATATCATAAATTAAAAGGAAGGAGAAGAAAAAATAAGAAAGAAAGCAAGCCTCCGTTTGTTGGACTTTAGAATCGTATAATCGTAAGATATAGTGGGCACGTCCCCTTTTTGGAAAGCGATAGATGTCGGCCGTGCCACAATAGCTCCTATGATTTACGCAGATATAAATACCGATCGTTCTTCTTTCCTTCTCTCCTCTTTTTTCCTCTCCTCTCTGGACCGCGGGAAGACTTTGGCTACTCTTCGATGGATCACAAAGAAACGGGGAATCCGTAGGCCGCACGAAGATGCAATATCACCCCGTTATGACGGTCCCGTATTTTAGTAAGGTGCGTAGGGTGAGATTCCCATTGGCTGCCCCATTGCCATGGTGTGTATCGTAACGCGGTACCGCTCAGCACGGTACACACATCAATCACCGGCATTTTAATATCGGGTACCGTACAATACCGCCGACACCGATATTCCCTGGTACTCTCTACCAACCCTTCCCCTCTCCACACCCCCTTTTCGCCCCTCTTCCGGCTTGAAAACCGGTTTTTATGGCGAAATTCTTCTAACTCGTTCTCTGACCTCCACCCCCTACGCCTTATTTTTTTTCCCGCTCTCTCTCTCTCGCTCTTTACGTTCGATGCTCTTCATCTTCCATCGACGTCGAACACTGTTTCTTTACACTCGTTTGCGTTCTAGCTAAGCGCACGTTGTTGTTATATTGGAGTTTTCGTTTAATCGTTTTTGTGACCTGGCGTATGCGTCCTGCTATTATAGGGAGCGTGATGAGAACGAGTAGAGGGTTAAAGCGACCACTGATGACAGTTACTTGTGAATTGATATTCAGAATTTCTGTAACGCGAGTCAGGCTCAAGGTAACGAAAATTTATTTTAATTTTAACTTTGATTTTCATTTATAAGACGAAGCATTACCAAATGTAATTCTTCTCCCATCTGATGTGATACTGAAGCAGTAAGTAGCTGACGCTTAGAACAACGAGGAGAAAAAGAATCGAAGTCGAGGGATTAGAAAAGTTTGGTAAAAATCGAGCTGCAGCTGTCGTCGATTAAGCTGCAAATTTTTTAAACATACCGCAACGGAGGAGCGAATTCCGAGTTGACATGGAACGGCCACGAGCGAGGCTCGAGCTCCTTATCTCCCTCGAATTGCTGTTTTCGCGCTCGGATTACGTGTACTTTGACGCCTGACTGATTTTACGCCCTCGCTATGTCGCTTCCACCGACTATAACCAACGGGGATCTTCAAACCCGATTTTCACAAAAACCAAGCTCGGATGACAAAATTTTATTCCACATTTTTTACTTACTTTTGCACAAGGAATCACATCCAAGTTTGTGAGATAAGACCAAACCTAATATACGAGCTGAGTAAATTTTAATCAGGTGTATGAGATTTTTCTCACATTTTTTGGTCAATTATTGGTCAATTTTCGTTCATCTCAGTGTTGAAATGGAATAGTTTAAAATTAAAAAATACACGCTATAATTAACCCTTTCGCGGCTAGCGCCGGTTATATCCGGCATCCACTAAATGCTTCACACTGGCTAGCGCCGGTTATATCCGGCACCCACTAAGCGCGGCGCCTCGACAACTCAAAGTCGAGATTTATTACTGGATTTATTTTAAAATACAGAACAAGGCCTCGACAACATTCCCTTTATACAATACATCCTCAAGTCCTCTGCTGTTCCAACGAAATCCTCTAAGATTTTACACGGACACACTGGGAGCTCGAGAAACGCGAGACACTCATGGTGTGCACTAATGGCACGACGACCCGTCCGTTAGTGGCGTACCGATGCCTAGTTCCGCCGTCACGAAAGGGTTAACAGGCACATTATTATTCAATTTTATTTTTTTGGCACGACGACCCGTCCGTTAGTGGCGTACCGATGCCTAGTTCCGCCGTCGCGAAAGGGTTAACAGGCACATTATTATTCAATTTTATTTTTCTCAAACGAAATTTCATTCAATTATCTCCAATACTGCATTCACTCGACACTTTTCTCCTTCTATCGGAGATCTTTTTCAGAATTTTTTAAAGAGGTTTCGAAAAAAAAAGAAATTATTGTTCCAAGACAAAGTTTGCCTGTGAAAGCGTCCAGTCGTTGGTCCGGTTTGCTTGTTTATGTATCTCTGAGTGATGCAGAACATTCGAATGCATCACCACAATTACGGAAATCGCCAGCGAAATGTGCATTGATTAGGTTGCCGTTGGACAGAACGCTGCGGTTGGTCCTTTGTACTTCAGTACGCGCGATACGCGTTGCATCTGCTCATGATGCGTAATTAGCGGCCCTAATCGCGAATTTAGGATCGAGGTCGACGAAGTTTTCCAATGGTCATTCAATTACGTACTCTACGTACATACACGTTCGAATTTGTTCGTACCACTGTGTGTAACTGTTGTCGCAGTTTCTTTAACGAAATTTCCAAAACGAGCATTCGGTATTTTCGATTATCGACAGGTTCCTTTTTGTTACAGAATGTTAAAAGAACATTGTAAATGAGAATAAAAATGAAGCACTGAAATTTATTACAGTTGTCTGTACGTAGTTATGTTTGCTGTAACTCTTTCGTTTCTGTCGATTTTCATATTTACGTATTAACCCTTTCATACTATATTGCTGGAGGCTTTTGGTGAACCTTAGTTTGACCCTTCGCGGTTCTATGTCGAGTCGACATAAGAATTTTTGCCTTCACATACCGTATAATGATAAATTATAGTAAACCACTTTTTCATGCGTTAATATTATACCGAAACTTAGTATTTTATAATTAATGTTACGCTGAAATACCAAAATAAAGGGAAACTACACGGTACTGCCCGAGAGTGACCAAACGAGTGCGGACTATTTGGACCGCAAGGGGTTAATACTTAATTTTATCCTTTACACACTTCCACTTTAATTTAATAAACCGAATTTTGACGCGATACGGCCAAACAGCGAAATTTGCAGCCGTGTTTAAAAATTTACCGTCTGCCACACGCGTTACGTGTTGAAATCCGCCGCAGCGAAAGGGTTAATATCGTTGAATTCGTCTCAACAAAAGCACCACCGTATTATGGACAGAAATCTAGCGCTCCATTTAAAAAGGTAAACTTGACTCGAAAGCTTCTGTTCCTTCTAATATTTCCCAGTTGAAAAAGCACTCCTTTATTCCTTTTAAATGCCAAATCCGTAGACAAAACTACTACTTTACGATATCAATTATAATTAAAAATTGCAAAGAAGTATTTGCTTCAGAAATTCTTCTAAAACGAACTGCATTTCACGCGTAAATTATAATTGTTGAAGCAAAATGATTTATGAGCACTGCATGAAAAAATCGACCGTCATAACAAGGATTTACTTATTATTTTTTACAAGATTATCGAAGTATAAAGAAATGAAAGTAAACATGACGGTAAGAGCAAATTTTAATTATGATATGCATTTTTTTGCAAAAGAACAATTAAAATTAAAGTCATAATATAAAAATTAATATGTGTTTGTTTAATTTTATGCAATAAATTGAAGAAAAAAAAAAAATGTTGGCGTCTAGAACAGATTTCTTCAAAATAGGCTTGGCAGCCAACGTGTTGAAGTGATTGTACTTTTATTACGAGAGTCTCTTTTCTCTGGAGAAATTTTTGGTACTTCGATTGCAGTATGCACTGCTTGTTTCTGGATTAGTATTGTTTTTTGGTCATTTCTATGGTAAATTTTTGAAATTCGATTTTTTGAAACCGCCTTGGGTGGTATACCCCCTTAAGGCGATCACGTTACGCGGTTCGCTATCTCAGAATAGAAATTTCTTTTAACAATTATCGTAGCATGGGGCGAAAGACACGCAGGAAACATTTATTTTTATATAGAATACCATCTGCAAGTGTGCCGAGGGTTTGAATAGAACTAAAGAAAGTTTTACTTAATTTTCTCGGTGATTTGTTCCAATAAAAGAGTGTAGGTATAACGTTGGATAGAAATAGTAGCTAAATGTAAAGCTAAACTTTGCAATGCAGAAGCTAAGAAATAGGAAAAATAAGACGAATTTGATAATGTCGAATTTAAATCTCAGTCCTTTCTGTCGATAATAAAATTAAATTATTCTTCGTAAATGGAGGAGAATTGGAAAGAAGAATTTGTTTTAACAATTTAACGTCACTCTTGTTTTAAGTATTACGCCATAATTCTTCAGTGTTAAAAAATTACTAATGTAACGTTAAATAAGCAGATGAAAAGTAATTGCAACGCAACAAGTACAAACTCGAAGAAATTAGTTCATTCGTAATTTTATGCAAAAATATTGACAAACATCAATTGATGTACATTAGCAATGCAAAATCTTGTATCTATGACACCGTAAATTTTCTTCATTGAGATGTCGTAGGCTGAGTACCAAGGTCGGAACGTAATTGGTTTGATATGAACTTCCAAGTATGTCCAATGTTCCAATCTGTGTTAAGAAACGCGAATATAGTGTTCAATTTTCTATCTTAAAATCAATTTACTTTATCTTACCAACTATTGTACTTGAAGTTCAAACTCACGCATCCCACGGAGTCCATCGACGGTTGAATAGAATTATTTTCTATTCTCTTATGAACTAAATAATTTTCTAAACCTATTTTATCTTACGGACCAAATAATTTTCCAACTTATTTTACATTCTGTCTTTCAACTGTGTGTACAATTAGTACCCGCAGTCCACTCTGTACTCGTGAGAATCAGAGTGGCCACGGGTACGCGTAGTTCTCAGCTTGGTATCCCTTTCCAAAATTGAGAATTTTCTTTTCGGAAAAAGATACCAATTACCAGGTCCCACCGCGAGGAGGTGACTACGCACGGGACCCGACAAAAACAGGGGCCCTACTGGCAACTCTCTATCTTCAGAGATACGCGTTTCTCATTTGTAGCAAAGGAAATAGGACGTTTTATCAAAAATTCGCGATACGAGTGTCTTATATTTCATTTTCAATCGCAACGCTAATTATTTTCTCATTCTCGGTGCAGTGTTTAACAGAATTTAAAGACTGAAAATTTCATGCATTACTAAAGAAATAATCGCGGTAAATTCACGATCACTCTAAAGAACCAACGAGCCTAAGCGATGTACTCGTACTACGAATATCGCGCGCTATTCGTGGACGAGTACGTCATGCAAAAGCTCGAAGGAAATGAGCGATAGAGAATTGATATTCGCGAGAACGTTATTTGTTCCATGTTTGGTATCGACGATAGTAAAAATGCAGAAGGGATTTTATTAATTAGCTACAAATGAGTCGCGTATCTCTGTAAGAGAGCGCGCACATGGTACTCGGTACAATTTTCTATCTTAGAGCTACTTATTTTATTTAACGAACTAGTTCAAGGTAAAACGCACGCATTTCTATCGCCTTATGCTAATTTTATATCTTACGAACCACTTAAAGTTAAGGCTATCGCTTGGTTTTATTATTTTTCGATATTTGAAGGTTATCAGTATATGTGTATAATGAATGAATCATTATTATATCTTTATTGTTTATATTTTATTTGCATATGTAAAATCGCAGTAATGAAGTTCTGTAAGAAAAGTGTATTATAAAATGGAATAGGAGAATAACTCTGTAGGGTGTTTTTATTATTTGTCGATATTCAGACAAAGAGTATAGAGAAATTCACGGTGATCGAGCTATAATAAGTAAACGTACATTTATAAAATCATAGCAATGGGATTTCTACTTAAACCTGTAAATAATGGAACTCATAATTAAACTCCTGGCAAAATTCCTTTTCAAACAGGAGACAATTGAGCTCATATATAAACTTGAAATATTCATCCAACCATTTAATTAATCATCGAAAAAACATACAATTCACAAACCATACAGCTGGACATTGTAAAATAAATGTTATTTCTACCTAGAACCATTTTGGTATTCTCGATACCTTTTATCTTATCAGTATTGGCAAAAATAGGCTTTGAGAATTGATCTTTATGATCAAGAACGCCCAGGTAATTTGTTTTTATTTTATTTAGTAAGGAAAGCTGCGAATTTATATCATTTATCAGAAATTTTGATGGAACACTCGTCAGAAATTTCGAGGGAAGTATGAAACGAAAGAAAAACTAAAGTTGATGAGAAACTGAAAGAAAGGCTGAAAGAAAGGCTGAAAGAAAGGCTGAAAGATTGAAATTCCTATTATCAAACGCGATGTGATAATTGTATTATTCCTGTGAGAATTAATAAATTGTCATATTTGCTGCAAGAAAGAATATTAATTTGTTTGAAAATATAAACAATTCGTACGACTCACCATTCGTAGACCTCATACCTGGCCACTGTTACATCCTCTCAGATCCATCAAGCTTTTGGAATTCCCTCAGTGACCCATTTCAGTCCTCCCAGCCTTCAATTTTCGCCCACAATTGACCATTGCAATTTGGATTATGGAAGCTCCTCTCAGACCCATGAAACTTTTCGAGTTCTCACAGTGGACCCTTGAATTCCCCTCAACCTTGAATTGTCATCCCACCAGTGGCCACAATCACAGATTTTCAGAGACCCAAAGCCAATGACCAAGACCCACCAGACTTAGAAAGCTGTGGAAGTGTCGCGCGAAATTGTGTACAGATCGCGATTTCTTTCAAGTGTAATTTAGTTCGTTGAATTTTATTTAGTACCCGAAACCGCGAATTTTTATCATCCTCCATATGTTTGTGTAGTTGATTTTAGTTGGGACATTTAAGACAAATTTAAGGGAGGTATCAAATAAACGTGCGGAGAAAAAGATAAGCAAAAACCGAAATAGGGATGAAGCTATGATATCAAACGCGACGCGACGTAATAAATTCTCGTATCGATCGAAAACAATGGGTAGGCATTCGTTACGAAAATTGATTTTAAATTGAATTAACGCGGTATACTAATTGGGATACTCTAATAATGGGTGGGCGTTTGCACCGAATAGTGCAATCCTTCCAGTTCTTCTTCGAACTCTTGGTGGTTCAGCAACAAACATGCATGCACACACATATATAACCAATCACCAAACCCCAAAAAAATTCACTCACAATTCGCAGATTTGGCAGCTGGGCTCTGCAAAGTAGATTTTGGCTGCATTGCCTCCTTCCTTCCTTCCTTCCTCTCAGATCGTCATCCTTCCACTCAGATCGTTGCAATTCCTCGGCGTTGATTTTCCAAGACTCACAGACTCACAAATTGTGAGTCACTGTGGAATGGACGACGCGAAAAGTATCTCGAAACGCGATTTATTTAGAGAGGGAGAAACCGCGAATTTATATTACTTTAGATTTTACTATCGAACGAAACTTTCGTAGAACGCGAGTGAAAAATTGCAAAAACGCGAATTGGGAGGAAATATGAGATAAACGCGGAAAAATATGCAATAATAAGTCGAACTAGGGATGAAGCTATTATTTCAATACGCGATTCACTGACTCTAATATTTTGAAAAATTGAAAACTTCTCGTAAAAATCGATTATTAATTGCGAAACACTAGTGAGACGGTTTAATTAGGGGCAGCACAATATATAACACAACTAACTACCCATATCACCAGAAAAAAAACCCATTTTTGTCACTCACAATTCGAAGATTAGGCAGCTGGGCTCTGCAATGTCGATTTCGTTGCATCCTTCCTTCCTTCCTTCCTCTCAGATGGTCATCCTTCCTCCAAGCGTTGATTTCCCAAGACTCACAGACTCACACTTTGTGAGTCACTGTGGAATGGGCGACGCGAAAAGTGCTTCGAAACGCGATTCATTTAGAGGGGGAGAAATCGCGAATTTATATTACTTTAGACTCTACTATCGAACAAAACTTTCATAGAACGCGAGTGAAAAATTGAAAGAAAGTATCAAATAAACGCGAGTAAATTGAAAGAAAAGCAAAAACGCGAATTGGGAGGAAATAGTTAAACGCGGAAAAATATTCAATAATAAGCGAACTAAGGATGAAGCTATTATTTCAATACGCGTTGCACTGACTCTAATATTTATCAAAATTGAAAATTGATTTATCACGGTAAACTACTTGGACGGTTTAATTAGGGGCATAGTGCAACGAGTACAGTGCACTCGTTGCAAATCAGCTCACAATATACAATTCAATAATGTAACTAACTACTTAACATGCAAAATTCATGCAACTCCTGCGAAGAATTAGATTAGTAAATCACAATTCATGAAACAAATTCAAAATTCATTTTTCAATAGCATAGAAAATATCATAAATACTGAAAGAAAATGAAATTATAGATTGCTGGAAGAAAAGTACATATTAAATTTAGAAATAACCTGTAACGAAAATTTATTTCATTAATGGACAGCTGAAACGCCGAAATATTTTCATTAGGCAACCTCTCAAATTCATTTCGATATCCTATTCGACAAGTACGAAGAACAACAATAACAAACTGAAATCTCGATTTCCCTAAACCCTCAAAACAATCTCGAAATACGTTCGATAATAATTTTCTCGCGTGTATTAACGACCCGAAGGATTATTTAAATTTATTTTAAAGAAAAAGTAGCAGTAGTTCAGTAGTAAATAGTGGACTATTAGACTTTGAACAGTCTAAGTTTAAGTTTCAATAATTAGAGAAGTGATTTGATTGAAATTGAAGAAAAAGAAAAATTCAAAGCAGAGTATTCAAAGTCTAATAGTAAGTTTGAGAAAGAAATTTTGAGAGAAGGTAGTTGAGTGTGTATAGGGTGGACATAGGCTGCTAGCCAGTAGCCCTCGACCACCCTACTCACCTCTCAGTACCCTCAGATCAAAATTACGCGAAGTGTCTAGGGCCCAGTATAAAGGGTAAATGATTTCGCGGGAGCTCGCGGGTCTATTTATACCTGTGGTACCCCTTCCCCAAAATCATTAGCAAAGTCGTTAATAATTCGGGCGGGAATCGACTATTTTTCGCGGGAATCGACTACTTTTCGCGGGAGATCGATCACTTTTCGCGGGAAATCGATAATTTCTCGCGGGAATCGGTCACTTTTCGCGGGAAATCCTTCGTTTTTCGCGGGAATCAATTATTTTTCGCAGAAAATCGCCGATTCTTTCGTAATTCTATTTTGCATTCTATTGTAATGTTATAATAACGTATAATTTATTAATTCTCACAATTTTTTGGTATAAATTTATACTTCTAACAATTTGTTACAAAATTACATATAACAATTTATGCGTTTTTACAAGTTTCTTTAATGGAAACGCACGTTTTAACGTTCTCGTTACTTACTCGTGGTTAAATTAATTTCGTAAGGATTAAAAATCAGGTTGACCTGTGGTCATAGATTAAAAATAGCCATTTATGCGTTTTTACAAGTTTCTTCAATGGAAACATAGGTTTCAGCGTTCTCGTTACTTACTCGTGGTTAAATTAATTTCGTAAGGATTAAAAATCAGGTTGACCAGTGGTCGTAGATTAAAAATAGCCATAGTACAGATAAAATTATCGTTTTAAATAATTCTTTTTATACGAATCAAAAATGTGTTCAACGTTTGTTTGCTATAATACCGTGAAATAAATTATATCACACATTTTCTCTATTTACACTAAATTTAAAGTTCATAACGATTAAAAATCAGGTTGACCTGTGGTCATATATCAAGAATAATCACAGTAAAACTGATATTATTATGTTGTAACAACCATCAACGAAGACGGCGACAAAAATTCCATTCCACGAGAGGAAGTGAGGAATGACTCTCTATCCTCGTCGTCAATCAAATAATCGCGAAGCGATAGAAGCTTCTAGAAGAAACTAGCTTGCGATCCGCGGGAGACCCGCGGATTTACGCGGGAGACCCGCGGATTTACGCGGGAGTCTCGCGGTTTCGCGCGGGAAAACACTT